CAGCAGGGGGAATGTCTTGCTGAGTGATGGGATGGACCTTGGACGAACAAACTGTACTGTAATCTCTCTGGCCATCACAGTTAAATGTGAAAGGGACTGTAAACCAGAGCCCAGATCCTCCCTTACAAGTAATGTTTATTTCTTGAGTGATTACAACACTCTAAAATTTCTTACACCAGCTGTTAACATGAAATGCTAGGCAGTGAGCTGAACCCAGTCACTTAGGAGGAAATTAATTGGGTGCTGTCTCTCAACAGGATGGTGAAGTGATTGGCATTAACACTTTGAAGGTCACAGCTGGAATTTCTTTTGCTATTCCTTCAGACCGCATCACTCAGTTTCTCACAGAGTCGCATGACAAGCAAAATAAAGGTAAGGTCTGCAAGAAGCAGTGACATCTTCCAATTATTGTCTTGGTCTGTTGGTGAAGTGCGAAAAGACGTGGTTCTGGGATCCTATTACTGAAAGCAGCAGCATTATTTTACATTGTAGAATACCATAGACTTGGAAATAGAAAACAACTTCACAAGAGCAGCAGGGACGTTTTATTACTCAGACCCCCAAAGAGTAGACAGTATTTGTATAAATCTGGGAAAAAGGGCCTCTGAGGATAGTGAGGACACAGATGAGTCATTACAGACTCGAATGGTCTTGAGAACAGCTGGTGACTTGTTCAAGGAGTCTTATCTTCCTCCTTCACATATAGTACAAGCAAATAGGAGATTAAAATGTACTGTGGAGAATAAGGTAAAAACTTACTGCAACCACAGTACCCTGGACTTCTTTTATGTGCCTGCCTCATATCTGTCACACTGTATGAGGTGTCATACTACGTACTGCACAGCCAAAGCTCATCTAGTAATGCTTCATCCAGGCCAAACCTTCCTTTCTCTTTTGCTTGCCAATTTATCTGTCCACACCCTACTCATCTTGTATCATGACTGTTGGCTGCTGCTTCTCATTAATCTTACTGATATTAATCTTGTCTTCTCCTGAGTTCATCCAGTTGCTGATGTCAGGATTGTTTCCCTAAACCATTGTCATCTCAGTGTTCCCTCAGATACTGTTATTTCAGAAAGTTCCCTTAGTGAGAGGTTTTGCATCTGCTCATATACTTGAGACCATCACAATTCTGATGGGTCCCCTCATCTGTGTTTTGCTGAATTCCTCAAATTAGATTGTTTTCTCTTGTTTATTTTGGGGAGCAGGGGAAGTTGATAAAAAAAGTTGTCAATGTACTGAAAAGTACATTTCAAAGTAGCTGACATAATTTTGTTTCAGCCAGCAAGTCAAAAAAAGTGTTTATTCATCCAGGTCACTGACTGTTGGCTTCTGAGAGCAGCAGGTCTGTGTCATTAGTAATGTTACCCTTCAGAACCAAACTGCTCATCTCAAAACAGGGAGGAGCGATGGCTCACCAAGCAGGTGTGGCTGTAGATGTGTGAACACAAGTCTTGTGCAGAAAGTCCACCATCTGGCAGGGGTGTTCCTGGTAACGGGCTGGAAAGTCAGTGCAGGCTGGAGATACCACCAGTGAAATCAGCCATCTTGCTTCTTCAGGCACCTTTGCCTACAGAGAATGATAAACCCACAGAGCCCAGCTAGAGGGCCTAGAGATAACTTTCCCTGTAGAACCCTAAGGGGGGAGGTGGGGGGGGAGATTCAAGTTTATCTTGTAATTGTAATGTATTGTCTGTTTTTTTGTTTTGGTTTTTTTTTCATCATTCTCATTGTCCCCTAATCAAAGGAAAAGGATTCACACTTACTCCTAGCATCATACCGTGGGCACGGGCAGCTTTTACTTTTTTTTTATTTTTAAAAATTTTTGCTTTTACTTCTCTGAAGTAGCTCTTGTACTTTTGCTGCAGGCAGAACAGTTATTTAAAGGCCTTGATGCATAGAGAAAGAGAATTTCTAGGAGGTATTTTCACCGTATTTGAGACTTAGCTTGCATTTTTTAGGCCTTTAGTAATAATTTATAGGTTTGTTGTATAGGCGTTATTTCTTGACATAAAGAATTTATGTAAGCAGAATTTTTGGGATGTTTTTATCATGTTTTCTTTTCCTCCAATTACTTTTCAGTAGTTTCAGTGGGATCCGCCCTTATGGTGCAATTAGGTCATAGAAATAAGTTTTAAAAGTTTACCATTTTGCTCTAAATATCATATTGCCTGAAGATGATAAAATTCCCTTAGGAAACC